GGCAGACAATAAGCAAGTAAACAAGATATTATTAGGTGGTGATGAGTAATGTGAGCCTGAGTGATGTCAGAGCTAGTCTGCATAGGGCGGAGAGGGAAGGATGTTCTGGAGGAGACGACATTTTTAGCTAAGACATGGATGAGGAACTAGCCTTGCAAGGATCTGAGTGAGGAGGGTTTCAAGCAGAGCAAACAGCAGATGCAAGAGCCTTGAGATGGAGCTAAGCATGGCATGTTTGAGGAACAGGACAGAAGCTGGGTGGCTAGAAAATAGTGATCAATGGGGGGAAGCTAATGTAGTATATTCAAAGTCTCCTTTTTAAAGGCTGGACACAAGGTGGTGAGTGGCATGTGGAAGACTGGACCCAGGCACTTTGACTTTTTCCATCTATCTTTGACCTTGTGTTGTACTTAGTGGTGTTTATGAACTTTATTTTTTCTTCCTATCAACACTGTAAGACATAGGGCTATCATTATTTGTCTCCTTATTCCCTATGACATCTACCTGCGGATATGGGCATTCAATACCTATGTCTGTTAGAAGAAAGAGTGGATATTCTGGGATTAGAAATGAAGCTTATCCAGTGGGATATGTGGGGCTTGGGTAGGGCTCACCTAGAGGCCTCTCAACTGATTCTAGCTGCAGAGCCTCTTGCAAAAGAGACGGGGCAGAGCATAAACCACTTCTGCAGGCAGAGCCCCTACTACCTCCTGGACCACAGCTCTTAGTTCTGGCAGCCTGGTTGAATCCCCAGCCTTGGTTTCTCTGGGCTACGTAGATTTATGCTGTGGGCCAAACTCTTCTGAGCTCAACTCACTTCCCTAAACTCAGTTTCTTCCTTGACTAAATTCCTGTAACTGTTCATCTTCCCTAATGGTTCACCTGATTTAGGATCCTTTACCCTTTTACTATTCAGCCTTGTTCTGCCATCATCCATACTCAACATGCTATTGCAATGCTGTAATTATGTAAGACAGGGTTTCTCAACCTTGGCACTGTTGACATTTTGGGCGGGATAACTCCTTGTTGTGGGAGGCTGCCTTGTGTGTTGTAGGAATTTAGCAGCATCCCTGGGCTTTTACTTACTAAATGCCACTAGCACTCTACCCCTAGTTGTGGCAACAAAAAATATATCCAGACATTGCCATATGTCCTGGGAGGCACAAAATCTGCTCTAGTTGAGAATCACTGACATCTACAACTAGGAGGGAACTTAGAGACCAATTAGATGAATCCCCCTTTTCTCGTTTCACAATGAGGTCACTGAGGCCCAGAGTAGGAAATGTGTTGCCCACAAATTGGCAGTGATGTAGGCAAGAGTCTTAATATTTTTTTCAATCTTATCCCACTGCTTTTCGGTAATGTGGTGAAATATTAGGAGGCAGTCAAGTAAAGTGAAAAGGTAGTGACTTTGGAGAGAGAGTGGGAATGGAATCTAGGTCAAGTCATTGATTGGCTGCATGACCTTGGGTTCTGAACCTCTCTGAGTTTCCATTTTCTCTTTTGCAGTGATACTAGACCTAAGGGTGGTAACAAATCTCCACCTCACAGGATTATTTTGAGGACTAAATGAGATGTTTGTCCTAGCATCTTACCTGGTATGCATAGTGCTGAGCAAACACGCTCATAGTGCTCTCCTCCCTTGTAGTGCTATAAAAATGACAAGCACAGTATTGAGGAGAGGTTAGAGTTGTCCCAGTAGGATTAAGAGTGCCCATGAATATGAGGCTGGTAGGTAGTGCTTCCAGTGGCCTGTGTTAAAAATGCAGCTAGTGGGATTTGGTGTTTGTAATGGAAACAGCCAAATAGTTTTCCAGTTTGGAAAATAACTGGCTGTGTTGAAAACGGGGACTCGGGGCACCTGGGTGGCTCAGTCGTTAAGCATCTGCCTTCGGCTCAGGTCGTGGTCCCAGTGTCCTGGGATCGAGCCCCGCATCGGGCTCCCTGCTCAGCGGGAAGCCTGCTTCTCCCTCTCCCTCTCCCCCTGCTTGTGTTCCCTCTCTCACTGTGTCTCTCTGTCAAATAAATAATAAAATCTTTAAAAAACAAAAACAAAAACGGGGACTCATTTGACAAAGTTGTCCCCCCCTACCACACCCTTTCCTGAGGAGGTATCTCTGATAATTGTATTTTCTCTCTAACATCCTATCTCTCTCTTCCTCCAGCAGATTGTGTTACGACAGATATGCCTAAGGGGTAAATGAGTGTTCAGAGCCCAGTTCAGGGACTGTGCCTTTTCCTCCTCTTTACTAGATGAATATGATGGCATTTTCTCTTGGGACTGTGGAGATTTGAATCCAGGTAACCCAGGTTCTGATGTTAGTCTGGCCATTAAGAAATAACCCTAATATAGTTCTTTGTAATTTTCAAAGAAGTTTTCATGAGCATTTTCTGTGTTCCCCAGGCTGACAGAATTGTTGTGGTTCTCAATCCTGGCTGCACATTATAACCACCTATGAGTTCAAAACAAAACCAGACAACACCAATGCTCTGACAACTATGCCTCAGCTCAGACAAACTCTATTTGGACATGAGTCTTGGGCATTGGTGATTTTGCTTAAAGTTCACTAGGCGATCCCAATGTGCAGTTAAGGTCCACTATCACTGCTTATTTTGACACCAGATATCCCATTTCTTTGATGAGAAAAATGAGTTTCAGAGGAGTTAATTTTCTTGCCTAAGCTTGTAAAGGAAGAAGGAAAATAAACCAGGTATTGTGAATCCTAATCTAGGCCTTTCCACTATAGCAAACTGCTTCTCCGTTCATGATATGATCTGGAAACTTCAAGAAACAAAACATTTTTGAAAATTACAAAGCACTGTAATAAGGTTATTTGTCAGTGGCCAGACTAACAGCAGAACACAGATTACCCGATGGTCAAATATCTATAGTCCCAAGGAAGGAAAAAACTCATCTGACAAAAAAGAAGGTAGCTTCTTAATTCAAAACCTCAATTTTCTTATCTGTAAAGTGGGGTAGGAATGTACTGTCTAGACATTCTTTCCTTGAAAGAACATTAGCATTTGGTAAGGAAGGAACTTGCCATTTTGTCTCTTAATTAAGGTAAGTTGAGTTTTGACATTTCAGTGAAAGATACTCATCCTCATTTCTGTAGGGCATTGCTGACCCTCTCTTGGTGTATATTAGGGTGCTACTGAACAGATAACCTGAATAGGGCTATAAAAGATGCAAGATAAAGTAAGGAAAATTAGTGGACTTAGTTAACTTTCACACCTATGGCATCTCCTTGGCAAGGGTTTGTCCCAACTCCAGGGGCAGTCTAATAACTGTGGGGATACTGTGACCATTAGGAACTCCTTTCTGTAGCTGAGACAGTCCATTGCCCTGTACTTCCCAGAATGGATCCTAGTCTTGACCACACAGAAAGCTAGCTCTGCTTTCCCCAGGACAACCCTGAAGATCCTTCTCCAGGCTCAATCAACTGTTGTGCAGGGGACCTGCTTCTCAGTCCCCTTTCCAGCAGGCTTGCTGCTCCTTAACCTGGATCTGTTTTAGAGGGGCTAAAAGTAACTCTCCTCTTCTCCCTTTTTGCAGTCCTGTCTGGATCAGTGATCTCTCATACCCCAGAAAGATAGGCTGGCTTTCCCAAGGGTGTGGCAGGTATAGCCTTAACCATTTTTTTTTTTTCCCAGTTACTTTGGCATTACAGGAAGGTAGAGAACTTCTTGCCTGTTATTTTCCTGGCCATGATACATCATGACCTGGTTAGCAGTAAAATGGGTAACGCAAAGGCTTTGGATTTAGGTAGACCCAGTTCAAATCCTGGCTCTGTTACTTCCAGGAATGTGAGTCATTACATCATCTTTTAAAGCCCGAGTTCCTCTTCCACAGGGCCCTTCCTTAGAGGGCCACTGTCATGATATAGAAGGTATGAAGTGTGCTTGACGTAGTAAGTGCTTAATACATGGTAACCTGTGCTCTTACAGCTGTTATGATCATTATCTGAACTATATGAAAGTAAGGTGACAAAGATGAGTTTTCTCTACCTGTTAGCTGCTGTTAAAGTGTTTCTTCATTCAGAGGCACCTAGGTGCTGGAGGTGACTGCAAGTGGGTCCAAACAATTGTTGGAGCTTCACACAAGTCTGTTAGCTTCCTCCCCTTCCCTCAACCCTTTACCATAGAGATGGTAGTTACTGCCTGAAATGCCACAATTAGAACTTCATTCATTTGGGGTGCCTGGTGGCTCAGTCGTTAAGCGTCTGCCTTCGGCTAGGTCATGATCCCAGGGTCCTGGGATCGAGCCCCAAATCCCTGCTTGGCGGAAAGCCTGCTTCTCCCTCTCCCACTCCCCCTGCTTGTGTTCCCTCTCTCGCGGTCTCTCTGTCAAATAAATAAATAAAATCTTAAAAAAAAAAAAAAGAACTTCATTCACTTATTTTAGACCTCTCACCCTTGTTAATATGCAAAATTCCTTGGAAAAGAAAACATTTGAAGCTTTTCTTAATTATCAGTATCTAAATGTCAACAAATGTCAGATCCTTTATAGAAAGCCCATCTTGCTGGAGTGAAAGAAAAACTTTCAGGCAAGAATGAGAGGGTAATGTGGTCTGGGACCAAGATTGCCTGTTTTTAAGCATGGTCTAAATTGGTTTTGGTTTAACTCTGCACATCACAGATATACCTAGACTCCAGTTTGGGGGTGTCTGGAAGACCTACCCCATGAGCCATCCAGTTCTCTAGTACTGTGACCATTGTATGTCAAACCCTGCCCCCAATGTAGTTGGAACAGTGGCTCTTGGAAACCATTATCACTTGGTCTTTTTTTTTTTTTTTTTGGTTATCCTATTTGAATGCGTAACTCAGAGTGAACTAGTTCAGCTGAAATGACTTGTTTGAGAGCTGTTTGTGAATAAGGAATGGTGGTTACCATTAAAAATGTACTAGTCTTAGGTTCAGCAATAAGAAAGTAACGTAACCTCTAGAGCTCTGGCTTCAGAAATGGCACAAAAATGGAATGGACAAATATGAAAAGTAGGTAATGGATCCACAGTGATTTAATTCTCGGTGATATTTTCATTTTATGCAAATACCAAAAGAAAAAAAACCCCTGGCTACTTGAAAGAAGAACAGGAACCAAAATATTTAGTGTTTGATCAAGCAGAAATCCTCTCACACATCTGCTAAGAGAATTAAAACAAATATAGATGTTAAATAAAAGGCCCAGGTACCAAAGAGCAAAATTTAATGAAAGCCAGAACTGTTAAGTATGGATTCCTGTTGAGAAAAATGTCAATCTCTTTCAGAGTTTTCCCATTGCTCTATTTTTAAGAAAAGTGTAGTAAAAATACATAATACAAGTTAACTTTTTTCTTGCTATTGTTTTCCCCGTCACCCCTCCATTGACAAAAAGCTTCCTCCTCTGGAGTCTTGGACCCCCATACAACATAGACCCTCATTGTTAGCTTAGATGATCTCTCCCTCTCAGATCATGTTACTGGTGAGCTCAGTGGCTGGAGAGGCATCCTACCAAAGGCAAAAGGTCTTTGAAGCATGTTGATGGTAATAGGATTATTTCCAACTCCTCTGAAATGCACTCTCTAATGGTGGGTCATATCAGATTCTGCAGTGGTAGGCTAAGGGATGAAAAAATATCTGGTGGGAGGGCAGGGGATGGGGAGGACATCAGCTGGTGAAAAGTATAAATCCATCTTGATGGTCCTACTTCACGTACCATGCCCACACTGACGCGTGAGAGACTGGACAGCACTTGAGTTGAAAGAGTGAAGAGTTTGATTTGGGGATGGTTCTTTGCTATGGTTGATATTAGGAGAATGGGAGACACATAGAGATGGTGGGTGTCCAGAGATAATCCACTGATGAAGCCAGTCATTCTGCACTTACTTGTTGGTAGGCTCCCAAACCTTTAGTTTGTCAGTTGCTAATGATAACCCCTAGCAGAGAAGACTAGATAGAAGTAGGGGGTAAGGAAACAAGCTAGAACATGGTCACCAATAAAAGCTAAAGACACATGGCACACACTGAATCATGCACCTAGGAGAGTGGCTGCTGGACAGCTGGAAGCCAACTGCCACCAAGAATGAGAGCTGGGATCTCCAAGAAAGCTATGTGCCAGGAACCCTGCTCCCAACTAAAGTTGCAGTCAGCCTGGGCTTCTCTCCATGAACCCTGGCACTTCTCCAGTCTTGCTTTAGTTCAGCTTTATAGTTACAATCATGGGCATATTGAGTCTGGACATTGGAATAATACATCCTCATTCTGTCTTAGCCAGGGGGAAGGTCATTCTTCTTGGAAGTTGGGGTCAGTGATCTTAAGGTCCCCCAATGTCATTATCAACTTAATTCATCTCCCTATCTTCCTTAAAGTTATTCATCCTTGGGCATTTTACTTTCTAAAGTGACAGAATGTTACCTGGCCACATGCTAAAACAACACTTTTAAATGGACATAAAAATCCAAGTTCTCCAGGTCAGCAAAACCCTAAGCTTCATATTTGGTCTCTTAATCCTAGGGCAGGGCACACCATGAAAGGTTCTCTTGCTTGTGGGCTTCCATGATGCTTCCTCTTCCAAAATTCTTCCATCCTTTATTTTGCACTTAGTTTGCATAGCATTTTCCCCCATATCAGAGGCTCTGAAGAGAGAGTCTACTCCACAGTGGGGTTCCTGCTCAGATGTCAAGCAAATGAAAAATGAGAATCATGGGCAATATCTCCCTGGCTGTCAACTATTCCCAAGGCTGTACTTGGTTCAGGAGGACAATTCAGCCACCAGAGTGCCTTTGGGCTTGAGCATAGCAGAAAGACATAATTCTCAGGCTGAGGTTGACTCTGTGAAGACACATACCATTCCACCTAAGCCTATGGGATGGCTGTTACACATTAAAGGAAGCTTTCTATGAGCCTCCAGCAATAACTTCTTGAGTCCTCCTCTGACTGCACACCTGCCTTTGCCCTCTCCACCACCCTTGGTCTGAATTGCTTTTTGCACATGTCCTCAGCTATATCAGTGCCTAGGAAGTGCCCTTCCTGGGGAAGGCAGTCCACTTCTTCAACAACATCCATCCTCATCCATGGCTTGGGGCTGAGGAATGGAGGGTAACTTAGAGAGCTCCAATGGTGAACTAGTTTGAAGGTTGCTTTTTCCCTTTTGCTTGCTTGTATGGTAGAACGAATCTTTAATCTCCAATCTGAAAACTGAAGAGACATGGGTAGGGAGTTGGGAGTAAGAAGCCAGGAGAAGGAAGGGGCCTAACAGAACCTGCAAACCATGGATGTTAGTAAGAAAAAAAATATCGCACACACTAAGACATATTAACAACCGAATAAAAGAAAACAGTACAGTTTCCTCATTAATGTTCCTGTGACTCCATTTCAGAGACACAGACTCTATTAGACAGGGTTATTCTCCCCTTATTGCGGTGCATTGTTGTTTATCATCCTCACTTAGCAAACGGAAAAGTGTGAAAGAACATCAAAAAAGGAAAAGGGATGGCAAAATGATTTTTCAATTCTTCAGGAAATTCTGTTGAATCATCTTCCTTGTGGTCATGGTGGTTGGTGGCGGTTGCGTTTCATTTTATTGTTTTTGGCACTGAAGGGTTTGGGATGGAACTGGGGGAGCTTGAGTATGCTCCCCAAGGGGTCTCCATCTGCTCCAGTTACAATCCCGTGGCTCCCAAGGGCATCCCTGAACTGTGGCTCATGCAGGGAATCGACTGCATGGACTTGGGGAAGTCGTGGCTTACTACACGGCCATTTTCTCCACTACCGCCACCGCTGGTTCCTGCCCCACTGTTACGTGGGAGCGTCGATGTCCGTATGGCTTCATTGATGGATTGCTGTGGGATCAAACAGAAACCCTTTTCAGGAGGACCGGGGGTTCTTCCCCAGGTCCTTGGCAGTGATTGGCAAGGAGAATGAGTCAATGCTGGCCTTAAAATCTCACCCCATCCCTCCTCCCCATCCAACTTTTTTCCTTATCTGGAATGCTAACCTTGGCCTCCTACAAACACACAAAACTGCTGTGTGGCTCTGGACAAGTCTAATCTCCTTTCTGGACCTCTTGTGCTCTCTGTGCAATGAGGTGTGTTGGACTGGGTGGTCACTAAGATCCTTTCTAGCTCTTATATTCTGTGATTTCTAAAGATGGAATATTTCCATGGTAGTATTAATGATAATAAATGTAGCAACATGACCAAGTAGAAAAGTTGTGGAAAGGCGTTTGGGAAACTTGGGATTTTAGTTTTGGTTCTGACATCAACTAGTTGTATGACCTTGTGCATGTCTCCTTACCTCTCTAGACTTTTAAATGTCCATGTTTGTAAAATGTGATTATCTATACACCTGCAGACTTCTATTAGCAAGAACAGTGCTACTGCATGAAAAATTATTTGAAATTTTTTTTTTAAAGGAGTGTGTTGTTGAGTTAAAATTTAAAACTACTCCTGATTTACTTCAGGAAAAATCCTATCCTACCTCTAGTAGCATGTGTTATGGGAATGTAGGACTTATTTGAATAATAGTCAAAATGTAATTGGAAAGAAGCATGGGCTAAAGAAAATGAGAATACATTCCAAAGATTATTATCTGCATGTCAGCTGTTTCCCACCAGTATGTATAACCTGACTTCCAGACTGACACATCAAATCAGCTCTACTTGTGATTTCCAGAATATTGGAATTCTGGATATGAAAAGGACTCCAGTATCACCCTGGGATCAGATGGGTGAAGTGGACTGTTCAAAACCACAACCTGGAATTAGAACCATATCTTATTAGATAAGAGTAAGGGTTCTGTTCTGAGTTCCTTTGGAGAAAGAAGCTTCATGACATGAAATCCAAACCCTCCTCTCTTCCTGTCACTTCTAACCTCCCATTAAGAGATACCATAGAATTTTTGTGGGGGTTGGTTTCTTGGGAATCAACATAAAGAAGAATTATCTGTAAGTTGCGAGTTTTCTGAGACCAATCCTACCGATCCTTCAAGGCTCATTCTGTTCTCACCTCCTTCTTGAAGCCATCCTACACTGTACCAGCAAGTATTTGGCCCCCCTCCCCCGCCCAGTCTAGTACTCCTACATTATACATGCTTTTGTAATGGTTCTGCTTCTGCTATGTCTGGAGGAGGGCAAGGTTCATTTCTTCCCAGTCCGCAGCAGTCTCCCATAGTGTCCACTATATAGTTAGATGTTTAATAGATATTCTTAAATTTGTCTAAAAAAAAGTCAACCACCTAGGACCCTTCTCAAAAAGTTTATGAGCTTTCTCCTCTGCATATTGCCATGATTCTAGCCATCAGAGAAGTCAGTCAATCTCTGGTGGCCAAACAGACATAAACAGCAGTTTGACCTAATTTTTGTTTCTACTATATTATGCTGAGAGTCTCCTCTTAATTCTGGCAATTCTGACAATATTTTTAAGTGTTTGTTCTTTTTAAAATTCCTGATTCAGACAAATTTGCTCCAAAGGTTGCTCTACCCATACTGGTTCTGCCTTCTTAAACTTCTGTTCTTTCTTTCTTTCTTTATTCTGTTCTTTGATTTATTTTGATTGTCCTCCACTCAAGAAGAAGTGTGACCTTGATTGCATTCTTCTAAGTCAAGGCCAAATAAATACTACTATGATGCTTTATGGGGGAAATGTGAAAAGAATACCCAAGGAATTAATGGTTACTTGTTCTCACTTGTGTGTGAGGGAAGTATGGAACCTTCTATGGATTAGCCTGGAATGTTTATCTTCTATGATTTTTTTCTGCTACATCCCTTTAATTAAAAAATAAAGTTTAAAGCTCACACAGATCATCTTGGGCTTTGTTTTTCAAAAGGTCTCATATAGTCCAGTAATATTCCATTGAAATTGGTGGTATTGAGGAATTCATCTTAAAGGAGAAGATTGGCGGTATAGTCAATATTGGTGCCTACCAAAGTCTGAGATAACTTAACCAGGCCTGTAGCTAAAACCCTCCAAATCCATACCACTTGGGAGTGGTTTTCCAGGAAGCTGAGGGCTTCTCTGTGGTCAATGACTCCATCTTCCCATCTAAAGTGAGTGCTACCTGCTTACTGGCTTCCTATCTACTACATTATGGGATCTCAGGAAAAGAGATGAATAGAGTCAAAACTTGGGAGTGGAAAGCAATGCTAAAAATGACTAGATCATTAGTTCCCAAATTTGACTGCACATTGGAGTTATCTGGGGAGTTTTGGGGAAAAAATACTGATGCCTGAGACATACCCTCCAAGATGTTGACTTACTAAGTGTGGTGTGTGGCCTGGACATCTGGATTTTTGAAAACTCTTTAGGTGATTCTAATATGCAAGCAAGGTTGAAATACACTGATCTAGTTTATATCCTTCACTTTTCAGAGAAACTGAGGACTTATGACTGACTGACTTAAGGTTAGAGTTATCAGTCCCTTAATGTCAAAGTGGATGACCTCCTAACTATACCCCCTGTAGCTAAGCTCTCATAAGCTCATATTATTCCTCCCCTTGCCTCTGGGAAATGCAGTTCTCCCTTGTCCATCCTTGACATACCAGCCATTCTTAAAGTTCATCCTTTCAGGTGTGTTTGAAGCTGATGTTCAGGGAGAAAAGTGTGAGTGTAAAGTCCAACCTCAAAGTCCCCCAAGTTGCCTCTTCAGAGACTCATTTCTCTAACTGTGATTATATCCTAACTTCTCAGCCACTTGCTTTTCCGAGAAAAGTCTCCCCAGCCTCTGCCCATCCTAGAACACCGTAATAAAAGCTCAAACCTCAGTGATGACCTCCTACTAGCATGTATGCTAAGAGCCAGAGTGACTGCCTGCTGTGGAGGATGCACCCCTGCATTACCAAGTCTCTCAGCTGCTTGATAATTCTAGGGAAATGCACAAAGCCTCAGCTGCTATGGCTTAACCACAGCTCATGTCATACATACAGTTATTTTCTACAGGGAGCAAAATGGACAATAATAAAGATGCTGGTTATCTTTAATATCAGCTAAGGACTCAGTTCTGGTCTTTTTCCCCCAGGTAGAGGAGAGGCATTGAGGATCTGAGACTTCAGTCTGGACTGTGTCTTAGGTTATGTATTTTTGCTACTATATGACCATTCAGATTCTACTCATTGGAAAAGTTGTCTGAAGTCCCTCTCTGAGTCCCCAGCTCTCATGTTCTTCCCGCAGTCTTCCTGTGCTCTGGTCACCCTGGACTTCTTCCCGTTTCTGGGCAAAGGTTATAATTTTTGGGTCTCTGACACACGTGCATCCTTTGTAGGCAACTCTTTCCCCCTGGTTAATTCTTTCCACATTTCAAGTCACCTAGACATCAGTTTCTCAGGGGAACCCCTGTGACCTGCCCCAACCCTCATTCCCTGATCAGGACTTGACAGCCCCAGTATTTTTGTTCAAATCCTCAGTGAACATGTAAATATTTGTTGTTGTTGTTGTTGTTTTTCTGTCTTCCCATCACACTTGTAGTTTCCTGAGAATAGAAGCTATGTCTGTTTTGTTCCCAACTGTGTCCCCAGTGTTGAGCAATGCCTAGCATACAGTGGTGCTCAGTATGTCTTTGTGGAAGGAACGCCTCCAGGGTGTCTTCCCACTGTCCCTGTGACACCTGCTGTGTGCCTTGCTTGTGTGACATGTCAAAAGGGAAAGGGACTCGACAACACACAAGCAAAAGATTACCTATTATGGATGGCCTCAACGACTACCTCAGGAAAACCTAAGGATAGGGCTGCATCTTATTTGTCTATGCACTGTGGCCGCTGCTGGAGGAGACACATAGTAGGTGCTTACAATGATCTGTTCCTGCATTGGAAGTCTAATTCCTGTTTCTCCAGCTCCTAGCTTGTGTGACCTTCCTAGGACAAGCTCCTTAGCTTCTCTGAACCCCTATTTCTTCATCTGTAGAACTGCAAGCACAACACATTACAGGCTTAATAATGTATATAAAGCACTCTGAACATGGAAGTTACTAAAAAGATGTCTTCTTCCCTTCCTTTCACCTTTCCCTCCTTCTTCCCCTTTTCTACCCCCTTCTTTCCCTTTTTTCTCTTCCATGAACAGTGGGGAAGGGCTCCCTGACTACTGTTGAGAAATCAGGGGTTGGCCCTGAACTATGTTTAGAGGCTCAAGGCCTTAAAAATTAGCCAAACATTGTGATCAAGGAAAGGAACAAGAGGGAAAGTTCTCACCAAAGGCCCGTGACACTGTCAACATGGCCCTCTGTGTGAGGTGGAGGCCGCATGTCTGTAAAGAGTTAACTGCCTCGGACTGTTGAGTCTCAGATCTGTACCTCTGAGACAAATAATGCAAGATATGTTAAGAAAAAAAAAGAAGAAGAAGAAGGTAGCGGGAGGGGAGGAATGAAGCGGGGGAAATCAGAGGGGTGGACGAACCATGAGAGAAGATGGACTCTGAAAAACAAACTGAGGGTTCTAGAGGGGAGGGGGGTGGGAGGATGGGTTGGCCTGGTGGTGGGTATTGAGGAGGGCACGTTCTGCATGGAGCACTGGGTGTTGTGCACGAACAATGAATCATGGAACACTTCATCTAGAACTAATGATGTAATGTATGGGGATTAACATAAGAATAAAAAAAAAAGAGTTAACTGCCTCTGGGGAAGGCTAATTACAGAATAATAAAGAAAACTGCAAAGCTGTGAAGTCTGAGAGGCAGGTGAATGGTATCCTACTTTTCTCTTTTGGATAAGAGAGAAGTTGATGGAGCTTCAAAAATGAAGGGTTGGGTTGATTAATAAAGATAGTAGAAGTATCTTTTCTGCAGTTGGAAGATTAAAAATTCTATTAGGAGCCTTGGTGAATTGGGCAGAGTTGTGCCAACCAATGGAATTAATTATAAAAGATTATGGTGGAAGACCTTGGATGAATGATTCTAAGAGATCCTGGCATTGGCTTCTGAGAAATTCAACATCTTTGTAAAGGGAAGGGTACGAATGTCCCCAAGAAGTTATAACCTGCCTCAGTGGCCTCCTCTAAGTATTCTTGTCTTAACCTGAATGTTGTGACTTCAGTGGTGAAAGTCATCTGTCTAGTTTTAAGACAGTCCTACTCTTTAGCCACCCTGGTACCATTACCTGACACTGACCATGATTAGTGGGAATGGTAATCCCATAGGAAGGGCCAGAAGTCCAGGCACTTCCTGCTTGGTGGATGTCTGCTCTCATCAGATTTTATGAGCACAGATGGGGCGAGAACCAGCTTGGATGATGCTGTCTGTGCTTCTAGGCTGGTGGTCTTGATGGTTCTATTTGCTTACCCAAATAGCAGCTCTCCCCCATGCATCACCTCAGCCTTGAGGAGATCTTCTCTTCTAGGTACAATTCTACATTAGTTTTACTAATAATTACCCTATGTGTGCCAAATGTCCAAAGAGAAATTAGACATAGTTTCTTACCATCAGGAACTTAAAAACTATATAACTCAAAAAACCTAGGACATATAAGTAGGGGCAATAAAAGGAAAGTCTTAAAAAGACTGTAGCTGGTCCCTAATAGGAAATATTATTATTATAAATTCTAGTTATCATTGTTAGTACTGTTATTTATCGAGAGCTTATCATGATGCAGGCATTCTGCCAATCCCTTTATATCCATTTTTCACAGAAAGCTCACAACAATTTTATGAGATATGTACTGCCACTAGCCCCATTTTACAGAAAAGGAGGCTCAGAGAGTTACTGGAACTTGTCCCAGATTACACAGTTAACAAATGGAACAGGCAGGGTTTATGCTCAGACACTCAGTCTCTAGGGCCCGTGCTTCAGACACCACACTGCACTGTGTTCTAGGGGAGCCGTGAGAAGGAGCTCCTGTGATGTGTACTGGGCCAGTCCTGGGCCCTTGGTTTGGGTCACAGTTCTCATGGAAAGTTTTGGGGGTTTGTAAATGTTGTAGCTCACCTAGCTCTTTTTCTGTTCCACTCTTTGCCTCCAGAGTGGCCTTTCCTCACTTTGGAGGGTAAGATAGGAGAATATTTAGGTTTATGTTTTGGATGGAATAGGCAAAGAAATCTTTCTTTAGGTTCTAGGAGACCTTTTTGTGTTTGCCAAGCTTCTTGGAGGTTTACCCTGGGTTTAGGGTCTGAGGCCCATGCTTTTGCTCTGCTTTGTCCTTTCTGAGAAGACCTGGTAGTGGGTGAGCTGGTTAAGGGTAGGAAAGAGGTGTTCCTAAGTCCCCTAGCTAAATACCATCATACTACCATCCCTTAATTGTTCCTTGTTATTGTATCTTAGTTACATTGCCTTTTAAATAGGCTCTATGGGCAGAAGACAGGGAGAGAGATTAGCCTGCATTAAGGCACACCGGTGGGAAGCATGAGGTGGGTGGTTAGAGTACATAGTATGTAAGGAGAGCAGATTGCTTGGGAGGGGAAAGTAGGCTGGAGCCATGATGTGGAAATGTTGACTGCCAGGACAGAAGGTCTGAATGCCAGGACAGAAGGCCCTCCTCCTCCAACTCCCACTTTCTGTGTACAGAACTGAATACAGAGTTTCCAAACAGGGGAAGCAAATGTCCAGCAATGTCTTCAAGAGTGACCCTGGAGATGTGTGTAGGGCTATTGGCCCAAGGCAGGGAGAGGCTAGGTAGGAGGCTGTGGTTGTGACTCCACAGTGGGTGTACTGAGCTTATATGGACTTCTTAGGGCCCATTCTAGGAGAGCAAATCCTACCAGTGAATCTTCTTAGTCTAGTCAAGCCAACATCACAGCCTAGGTTACATTGCTCAGAGTGACTGCATTTCTCTCCACCTTTGTTGGTCTGAGTCCCACTCGTCCTTCCTCTTAATTTTTGCCTCAACCTGGGAGCCTTCTCTAATTCCCTCTTCCTCTGTATTCCTATCGACCTTCCTATCTATAAGTTGCTTCATGGAGTAATTTTTCTGTGCAGTTTTTTTGTTGAAAGTGCCAATGGTCACAGATTGCAACTCAGTCTTCTCTGTCTCATCATGATGTCTTGCTCATGGTATTGCTCACATAATTCATACTTGCATAAATATTTTCTTATTGAAGCTAAATGAGGAAATGTGAGGGGTCTTGAAGGTCATTTATTCAAAACTCCCTTTGAGTACTGGAATCTCTATCTTCCCCAAGAGTTACTCTTCCTCTACTTGTATACCTCCAGTGATGGGATGCTTGCTTTTTATTGGGATAGTCCATCCCATTTTGTGGTAGCTCTGAAAGAAAAGTAGATCTCACTGTGTTAACATTTGTTCTCCATAGCTTTTAGTCATTAGTTCTTGTTGTACACTTTGGGACCCAACAGAACTAGTCTATTTTTTTTCCACCTGAAAAGTCTTCATATTTTTATAGAAAGCTCTCTTATCCTCCATAATTCTTCTCTTCTCTGGTTATTTGGCTTCAACTATATTTGATGTGGTTTGGGGTCATTTAGCTAATCTGCTTATCCTCTGTGCATGATCTTCTTTGCCAAAATCTATATCAAAATACAGTGGCTAAGAAAAGACCTAACTCACCAAGCATGGCAAGATTATCTATCTTGCAGAAGATAGACATCCCTTCCCCTATTTTGGGAGCTATACTTCTGTTAATGCAGCCTCAGGAGAATCTACTTTTGTAGCAACCACTCTTGCCTCACACTGTGTTGACTGTCCACTTAAACCCCTAAGTTTTAATCTCACCACCCCATCTTTGGCTGGTGCAGTTGTTTCCCAGGCCTATGTTTACCCTGACACATCCCATCTTCCTTCCTTTCTCATAGCTGTCTCCTTTCTTATCACCTTCCTCATCCCAACTTTCTGCTCCTTGCCTCAAACTGACCTCAACTTCCTCTCACTCCCCCCCCACCCCCGCTTCTAGTACAGGGACTCCCAGGAAACCCAGTGATATCACAGGATGGGGTAGGAAAAAGGCCTGGGGAGACGATGCCACCTTCATCCGCTTGGATTCACTACGGGATTTGTAGCAGAACTCGATTAAGGCAACCAGCATGGCTAGTCCAAGTCCTCCGATCAGGATGTAGAACACGCCTGCCACATTGCTGAGGCTCAGGGCGCTCGTCTTGTCCTAGGAAGAGGAGGAGGGAAGGGGGGAGGGGAAAGAGCAAAGTGAGCCAAAAGGCTAGAGAGCATCCAAGCAATAGCATTTTTACACACATACACTCAACCCCGTTACCCTTTTTAACCTTCAAAATAGCTGGAGAGGCTTTTTATTCATTGACAGAGTGCTAAATATCCCTAGGAAAAGTGTGTGTGTATTAACAATATTCCAAAGCATCTCTGATTATGTTTAATTTATAATTACATTTTCCTCCCTCCTCAATGCCTGTTCTGGGGCAAGAGACACCACAAGAAATTCGGGGCAGCTTCTTTCAAAATCTGCATCCTTGAGCTTACCCTATTCTTTCAGAAAACATGTACCTTCCTTTTCAGCTCAGTTCCTGTCCCTGACCCTTCTGTTGTGCAAAGCCTCAGCTTTGCCTATTTATGTCTCTGAGCGTTTTTCTGAGTTGGCACTTAAAATGAACTTCTCCCTAGATGTGCCTTTAATTTCAATTTAATAAGGCAGTCATTGCCCACATAATAAAGACCAATCAATGTATACCTTTAACTTACTGATCTGAGCCCCAGTCTAGGGACAAAGGAAACTAGGGGGCTTGGAACAGTAAAATGGCCCTGAGATAGAAAACTAGCTCTATTAAATCCTAATAATTATGCTTAATTGGTGTCATTTTTCTGTTGGAGGTGCTTGCTAAAAGACACTGCAGGCCAATGCAGGTAGCTGAATTTAGAAATCTCTGCTGCCTATGGTAAAAGATCTTATACTGGTTGTGGATGAGCAGAATCGTGGAGCAGATTGCTTAATTCCTAGGGCTGGGGGACAAGTACCCATCTCTAGTAGTTTGTGGACAGAGCTCACTTTGTGGAGCCTGAGAAAGACCATCAGTCTGCTGAGACTCTCCCTGCATCCTGTCACCTCCAGTCGGGTTCAAAACTGGGGGACTGGGGACTGTTCCCAAGCAGTAAGAACAACCAAAGGAAACTGGTGGTTATGATGGTAGTAACAGCTCAGAGAGCGGGGAAACTGCTCAATAAAATTCTTGACACAGGCAAGTGAACATCTTTAATTTATATCTTTAAATCTTGGAAGAATACTCATCCCCGGATGTCATGGTGGTGCTAACATCTTTGTTTATATTGTTTGCTTAGGTACAAGTTTTTCATTGAACTAAAATGTACACCTCAACTGGCACAGATACACACCGTGGTTGGTTAGTTGGTGGTGCAGGACAGGATATAGCTTTTAGGTCTCTGCATGGGCTCTTTTTCAGGTGGAGAGGGAGGCGAGTCACACAAAGGGTGAACTGTGTTGCCCCAGGGACTCCTTTGACATCTGCCCATTAGAATCTGGGTATGTGGAAAGGGGTTTGTTAGTGACTAAATCAGTGGGCTCTGCCCTAGTTCTACTTGGTGCATTGTACAGGGTTCAGCAGGGCTGAGCTTGGGCACCGCAGCTGGCAAATAGCAGCATGCCTTCCCTCCCCAGAAGCAGCCTTGGCTAGCAGAGCTGTAGGATTATCTAAAGCACACCCCTTTGGTGGCTTCCTGTATTGCTAAAGCAGATGGCTCTTGAATATGGGTTACACTTGGCAAGGCATATTCTGGCTTGGGAAGCAATGGAAATGATTATTCCAAGGGGTAGAATTTCTCCTGCTCTCGTGTAATGGCCTGATAAGGGTTATGTGCAAAAATGAGTTCAGTGCTTGGTTCAAGAGTTGGCGGAACAAGTAAATTCCCACTTGGCATTATTTTTCAGAACACTCAAAATGTCTCCCTGTTTGTTGTTCAGGAGGTCTGTAATTCTGCTTCTGGAGAGTAATTCTTCAGAGTCCTTGGAGGATTTATGGTTAGTAGAAGTTCCAATAAAACTCTTCTGTGTGGAACAAAAGAAAAAAAAAAACAAACCACCAGGCTCTTCTGTGTGGACAGGGCTAGGAGTGTGGTGGGGAGGCATGTTAATGCATCATCAGCTACAAGCTTTCCAGCTATGACCAGGGAGAGGGGAAAGATAGAACCCGAGTCTTCTGAGCACCCTTCTGGAGGACCCCATTCTCCTCCCATCCCATAGCAGCTGTACTCCCAAAAGCCAGGCAGCTTGTTGGTGGGAGTGAAAAAGTCACAACTTGTCTTCTGCCAGGAGGGAGGGAAAAGAGTGACAGCACTGAGAAGAATGACAGGTGAAAAGAAAAACAAAAAAATCCATTTTTCAGAATTGTTGGGCTTGTCGTCATGGTGATGAGCCCCCCCTCACCAATCTGTCCCCCTTAACCTGTTGTGTTGAATTGCTGCCTCTCTCATGTGGAAGGGAGATGTTTTCTTTTTCACATTTTTTTCTTGCTCTTCCCACATAATGGGGGACTGTCCCAGACTCTCTCTGTGTTTCTGAGCCAACATCCCTTCCAAGAATCTGGCTTGAGTCTTCATGAAGAAGTTTGATCCAATCATGAACAGGAGAGACTTGAAGTAGAAAGTTCCAGGAAGAAGCCAAGGCCTTCAGCCATAAGACCTCCCACAGAGACTGGTGCTGCCCATCATGTAAGGCCTGCTAAATCTGGACAAAGCTCCAGGTTTCTCCAACTGCTTCCATTCCTTCTTATCTTCCTTTTAAGACTGTGAACTCTTACAAAGCAAAGGCTACAGCTCCTGCTCTTCTTTCCATTCTGTAGAGATTGCACACATTTTCTGATGTCTGTACAGCTGGACTTTTAGGGGCTGCCTGCAATTGTTTCACATGCTGAATCTGTGACCTGACTTGCTTTTCAGGTCCACCTACTAGCCTTTCTGCTATGGTAGGCTTTCACTTGTGCTTTTCCAAAACTTAGATTTTTAGCCCATGAGTTAAAAGTCTCATTTTCCTGAGGGGTTGGTTATTTCCTAGGAATACAGACTCAGTGGTTGGCTAGGCATACTCACTAGCCAGGACCAAAGTTTGGAAGCTATGGGGAGGTGGATTTGATTCAACTAAAGGAAGACCTTTTGACTCAACAGAGCTGTCCAAAAGTGCAACACCCTGCCATGGATAGTGGTGAGCACCTCAAACATGGATGTATTCAGAAAGAAACTGATGAGGTCACTTAAGGGATTCAAGCACTGGACAGAGAGTTAGATGAAGTGACCACTGACACGTGCCCCAACCCCAAGAGATTTGAGGCATCTAAGGAGTTCCTAGAGGGCCTGGGATCATGCCTTTTATAAATTCTCCCTAGAGACTAACCTCTTTAGGGGATGCAAAAAAGGAACTCACGTTAATTGGCAACTTCTGCTGTTCCATTTCCAATCTAGGACAGTTCCCTAGCTTGAGTATTTTCCCCAAGAGCAACACAGGATGAGAATTGGCCCATTGTACTAATAATTGGCAAGGCAAATGCTGTGAAAGTAAGGGTTGTGGGGGCGGCTCTTCTCAGCAGTGTGTGCTCAGGGACCGGCTGCTGTACAATGCACCACAGAACATACTGACTCGAAACAAAATTGCAGCAGAGAACTCAAGGAGACAGTATGGGTCATGGAGGGGAACTCAAGGGCTAGCTGAGGCTAAGGCCTCTTCCAGAGTGGGAGGAATTTTCCAAAACAGAGGCACTAGTCCGAGGGTAAAGTGGGCATCCCCATAGGAGGCCTTCACTGTGAGCAGAATAGCTGTCTGGAATATGCATTGGAGAGCAGAGGTCTTGTGTGCTGGAAGAAAATGGAGCCTGCTGTCCCCAGAGGTGCTCCTGGCTCCTGGCCCCAAAGAAAGAGTTTTAAAGGAAAAATCTTTGTTTCTGTCTAGTCCCGTCTCCTAGGGCAGTGATGGGAGACTTAGGATATGGGGTTTAGGGGCACTGTGGAGGACCACATTCAATCTCTGATTTGGGTAACTGCCGTATGTTGGACATGATGTTGGAGCACACATAACTCCCAGGAGATTCACCTTGAAGTCACTGATTCTCTCTAGGCCACTGCCTGTGCTGCTTTACAGAGGCTGGGAACACTGACCCTCAGCAGGATTCTAGCTGGAGCCAGAA